ATATAATATAATATAATATAATATAATATAATATAATATAATATAATATAATATAATATAATATAATATTACTCACACTTAACATCAAGCCGCAGCGCATTGGACATGCCATCCCCGACTCTGTTATAGGCGTGGCATGTGTATGATCCCGCTTGTCTACGACCAACTTTCTGAAGCACCAAACTCTGGTTGCTCACGATCACCCCACCGCTGATGTTGTGCCATAACACTTCATTCTAAGGGAGATAAACGAAGATTTTTATCATGTGTCACAGTGTCGGTTATGTTACTACAATAGAATTGGTCTTTATGTTGTAATGTACACGTATCACTCAGAGATTTGAGTGAGATTTATTCCAAATTGCGATGCGTTTTTTACATTTGCCCAGGTAATTCCTATTATATTAGGGGCTCATCTTATGCTCATGCGTTTTAATGAGAATGGAATTAAAAGCAAATATTTCAATCTCTTTATGAGTTTATTTAAATGGCATATGAACGTATTTTTTGCATCATTCTTCTGTACGTTAAGCCTAGCTATAATATATTTTAAAAGGGCTATTTCAGAAATAAATATAGCATAAGTCAAAATGATATATTGTAAAAATATATTTTACAAAATTTAATGCAAGAAGGATCACCGAGAGCAAGAGTTTATTTAAATCATGTTGTACAGAAGAGCTTAATTCAGTTATTATTTTGTCGTATGCCAACGAACCAACAATGTTAATCTATTCAATAGACATCGGACTTTTTGCTTAAGTGACATTTATTGAATGATAATAGTAGCTTTGAGATGAGTTGATGATGAGTTAGTTCAACTATGCTGAACTCCTGCTGAGCTTGTCCTGCTAAGCATATCATAACAATAACATATTTTTTGCATATTATTTTCTGGAGATTTCAGCGAGTTCGCACAGTTTTAACTATGCAAAGAGAAATTATTGTTAACAAGCATTAGCAAGTCATATATCAAGATAAAGCTTTTTATCGATTGTATCAATACTCTCCCTATATTAAATTCGAAATTTATCAATTTTCTCGTGGAAATACTTACGTCATGTCGCCACGAAACTCTGGAGACTCGCGGGTTAGCATCGATGATGCACTCGAAGTAAACGTCGTCGTCTTCTTTGATGTTTTTGGCATCCAGAGACGCGCCGAACCTGGCGTGGGCTTTTGGAATGTCTGCGAAAATTAGACAGGGAAATTAGTGTCTTAGAGCATAAATCATCAACAGTGTTTTAAATATAATTAATAATGAAATTGACGGCTAAATGAATAGTTAATAAATAATGCCAATGCGCAGCTCTGTTATTTGTCAACAGTAAACCATGTTCTATTGCCACAGAGCGTGGTTGATGATAATAAAAAAAGTTATTCTTGCCATTCATAACCTTTAATTAAAAATTAAAAATTTGAATAAAATATTTACACCATATCATCATTGAAATTATGGAAAATGCACAAATGGTTCCACAATGCACATAAAAGTAAATAAAATATGGCTTGAATCATGTAAGTATCATAAATAGCACATTATAACTAGTTCAGACATAACTAGAAAGACGTAACTAGCACATAGCTATTTAATAGCTAAAATCATAGCTATTTTAACATAACCAGCATAACATTCTAAGCTTTTGTCTAGGCAGCGCTAAATGCCCGTAGTTGTTCCAGTCCTGCGAAGGGCGCTAATCCAAGCCTCGCGCTTCGCATGCCAAACAAACCACAGAAATTCGCAACGTTATCCTGCATAGCCAATTAATTGATCCTCCACAGAGGGCGTCGGATAAATTACATTTATTTGCATTGCTAGGTTTATTGCAGACTTTTTCTTTCAATTTTATGAGCTGGTTTCATTCCTGGTCACTTCTACTTACTAATTACATGGGCCATTAATCTGCTGAACTTTGATGATGCTAAAGATATAAGCCATAAATGAGGACATAGACATAGTGTGGCAGTAAAATATTTAACACATTGACTACGAAGTGGTACATATGAGTACCACGAAATGTATTTCTTCAGGACGTAGTGGTACATAATTCAGGATGCCTAAAATAGGCCAAATCCGAGAACAAAAAAGGCCAAAACAGGCCGATAACTCAATATATATTACTAGTTTATTTGTAGCTTCCGCTACAAAAATCCATATATTTCCTTTTTGCAGCATTTAAAATTTAATTAGGAAGTACCCCTATCATAAATTTAAGCCGGCCAACGCAATTGAGAAAAACTAAATCACGGAATTCGTCCGGAAAAAAAGATCGTCTGGCAACCCCGTTTAAAACAGTACAAAAAATGAAATAATAGTACAAGATGAAGCAATCCTAGTCAACGTGTTAAGCAGATTTTTGCTCAGTATTGATCCTTAACAACTATGTTCATCATGTCTTTTCTCTATGACATTAAACAGAGGCTTTAAAAAGTGTGCATGGATTTGTTTGCTATATATAGTGGTCTATTTCAGATTAAGATTTCAAATTTTTCAAGTGAAATGGTTTTTAGAACGAGTGGTGCATGTTTACCGTATTCATAATGCAATGGAACAATTGGCAAGAAGATTTTTCGGAATTTAAAATTTGATAAATTATTTAAATACATGAACCACATTAATAATTGATGCAACATTACCGGGGTGAATATCAGGCGTGAGAATCTAAATTCTTCTTCATGATTAGTTATTATTATAGAGCTTTGAATTACCTAATAATAGTCCAAAAATATTCAGTATACCATAACTATGATTTCACGATATATCATAGCACAACTATCATTACATAACGTGTATTGCATAACTAGCATAACTAAAATAAGCAAAACATCAGTAGCATTACATTAAATGTATTACATTAATAGCGCAATACAACATAATAATGAACATATAGCGCATAATATAATAGCATAGCACGGCTAGCATCATATAACATCATCGTTACACTAGCATAACATAACTTGCATCAGATCACTAGCATCACATAACTAGCATCACATAACTAACATAACACAACTAGTATACTAGTATAGCATAGCTATAGCATAATCAGCATAACTATCATCACATAACCATCATCACATAACCATCATCACATAACTAGCATAACTAGCCTAACTAGCAGCGCACTACCAGCCTAACTAGCAGCACTGTACTAGTCCACGCACACAGGACGCTCAGGAGCCACGATGCGTTGACAGACGTCGCCGTGGCGAAGCATAACCATCATCACATAACTAGCATAACAATAACATAACCAGCATAACACAACCAGCTTAACATAACCAGCTTAACATAACCAGCATGACATAACCAGCTTAACATAACCAACAGAACATAACCAGCATAACATAACCAGCATAACATTCTAAGCATTTGTCTAGGCAGCGCTATATGCCCGTAGTTGTTCCAGTCCTGCGAAGGTCGCTAATCCAAGCCTCGCGCTTCGCATGCCAAACAAGCCACAGAAATTCGGAACGCTATCCTGCATAGCCAATTAATTGATCCTCCACTTTCACGTCGGTTAAATTGCCTTTAATTACATGGCTAGGTTTATTGCAGACTTCTTTTTTCAATTTAATTATCTGCTTTCATTCATGATCACTTCTACTTACTTACTTCAACTTCTACTTACTAACTGCGTGTACATACTGTAACTCAGGCCATTAATCTGCAGAATTTTGATGATGCCAAAGATATAAACCATAAATGGGGACAAATACAAACAAATTCTGGCATTAAAATATTTAAATAATAATGCTCAGTATCGAACCTTGACTACTATGTTCATCATGTCTTTTCTCTATGAAATTGAATAAATATTTTAAAAGTGGGTGTACGGATTTGTTTGCTAGTGGTCTATTTCCAATTAAGATTTGAAACTTTTTGAAAGAATTGAAATGGTTTTTAGAACGAGTATTCTGCCACATCCATAATGTGACGGAACAATTATCAAGAAAATTTGTTGGGGTTTAAACTGTCTGATTTTATTGATATTGGGGTCTAATAAATTAATTGAACACATAGACCACATTAAAAATTGCTGCAACATTACTGGGGTGAATTTCAGGCGTGAGAGTCGAAATTCTTCTGCATGATTACCTATTATTATAGAGCTTTAAACTACCTCATAATAACCAATAATTATTAAGCATAACATAACTGGCATAACGCAATTAGATTAACATAACTAACATTTTGCACTATATCATAGCATAACTGTCATTACATAACGTGTATTGCATAACTAGCATAGCGCAAATGTAGTATAACATAAGTAGCATCAAATAAACTGTATAATATTAATGGCGTAATAAAAATAACATAACATGCAAATAACATAACATGCGTAATAAAAATAGCATAACATGCATAACATTATAGCATAACATAATAGTATAACATTGCTAGCATCATATAAGTAGCATAGCATAACTAGCATCGCATAACTTCCATCACACAACTATCACAAAATAAAGAGCTTCACATAACTAGCGTCACTTAACAAGCATAGCGTAACCAGCAGCGCACTACTAGCATAAATATCATCGCACTACTAGCCTAACTTGAGGCACTCTACTAGTCCACGCACTCAAGACGCTCAGGAGCCACGATGAGTTGGGTGGATAGCTAGAGGTCAGCATAGCCCAAATCCACAGTGCGATTCATATACCTTCCCGAGCGTAACGCAGCCGGGCATCTTCACGGCTTTTGGCACAAAGCGCCAACCACAACAGCGCAGTTCAGTCACAGGCCGGAGCGCATACAGGCCGGAGCACAACTGGCCGGAGCGCAGCAGGCCCTACCGCAACAGCTACTCCTAACGTAACCTAACCTAACCTAACCTGAGCCGCCTGTTGTGGTAGGGCCTGTTGCGCTCCGGCCAGTTGGGCTTTGGCGCTGTGAAGCAGTGGCCGTGTTGTGCACAGCGGATTTACTGTTAGCCGGAGTTACCCACAGCTAATTGGCCTGAGGCTATGTGTAGATATTGCATGCTGATATTTGGCGTCGGGCCCAGGGCCTGTTTACGAGTCAATTTTGTTACCCACGGCTGCGCTCCCGATGAGTTGACGGACGTCGCCGTGGCGAAGCATAACCATGGCATCATCACATAACTAGCATAACTAGTCTAGCTAGCAGCACTCTACTAGCCTAACTAGCAGCGCACTACTAGCCTAACTAGCAGCGCACTACTAGTCCACGCACACAGGACGCTCAGGAGCCACGATGCGTTGACAGACGTCGCCGTGGCGAAGCATAACCATCATCACATAACTAGCCTAACTAGCAGCGCACTACTAGCCTAACTAGCAGCACTACTAGTCCACGCACACAGGACGCTCAGGAGCCACGATGCGTTGACAGACGTCGCCGTGGCGAAGCTCTCAGCGACGCATGAGAGCAGCGCTCCGTCGTCGCCAGACTCTGCCGTGAACATGAGCGTGCTGGTCGTGACGTTGCCGTTAGATGACGTCTGAAACAGAGACCAATTCAACGTATTAAACGTATTATCATATTATTGAGTGTATCACGCCGTGAACATGAGCGTGCTGGTCGTGACGATAGCATGTTCAAATAAAATTGGTGATGAAGCCATCTAATCATCACGGTGGTAGCATTAACTTTGCTCATTTGATGAAATTAATATTTGCAATACTTCAGTTAAATCTTTTAAAATTACTCAACTGCCATGGCCTCTCCGATGGCGCAACGGTAAAGGCTCTGCTTCGCGTGTGGGAGATCGGAGTTCGAATCCTGCAGGCAGGGACTTCTTCAAGTCGATTTCTCACGAGGTATGTGTATGGTACTCTGATTATATGTTCCTGCTACATGTCTGACATTGTTACTTGTACTGCCATGGTAGATTTGCATACGTAGCACTTAGAATGGTGATTGGATGATGCAATATCAGTAAATGCAGAAGCATCGGATTTGAAACTAAAGGAAAATTTTTTATTGAATTCATTTTAAAGGTGGCCACTGGTGGCTCATTGATGCGCCACCGGTGCCAATGGGTAGTTATTGATGTACGAAGAGCCGTACGGGTGTGGTGGCCATTGGCAGGTTATAGGTGTGGGATAGGTGGTGCACGCCACCCTTAATTCACTGTATAAATCATATAAGCTCCACCTATGGGGTCCGCCGATAGCCACCATAAAAACATAGGTGCTCCACTCTCAATTTTTATTTGGGATTGTGGAGCGCACAATCGCAATAACCAGGAGTAGGGTCTGAGTTATTGGCCATAGCTTTGGAAAGTTGGTCGAGGTAAGGACTTGGATACAGAAATCGCCCAACTTAACCTCGTATCGGCTTTTACGGTGCTAGACTTCAGATCGGATTACATATACTGTGAGTGATAGTGATTGAGTTTCAGTCACTTCGTTTGAAGGGCAAATAGCCAACGACATTTATGACATAATGGTCAAAGTTTCAACGACATTCATGTTTCAATGGTCAAATATCCAACGACATTTATGGCTCCGTGGTCAAATATCAAGCGACTTTTATGGCTCAATGGTAAAATATTTCACGGCATTTATTTATTCTCAGATCCGTTAATGCAAGCCCGTCAAGGACTTTCACAATTTTAATTTGTATTGATTGACATTCGCCATCCCCCGCAGATTGACCATCCCACCGGAAACTCGCAATCATTGATCATGTTAACTCTCGTGCACGAGCCTGTGGCGCATCTCGTTGCAGTGAAGCAATTTCTCCAGCGGTTCCATGCCAACCAATCGTCAAGAAACTCATCAGTTCTCTCCATATCTCTAATTGCTACGCGGGATATTATTAGGCTTCTTATTAGTTCGTAATTCAAATATTACATTGCTCTAATTTTCGTGATTCAAATATTACATTTTCGCATTGGCACACATTTTTCGATTATAAATCATTATCTTCGAAACTTTTCTTTATTCATGGAATATAGAGGTGGTTTAGACCTTCTTACACATGCTTCTATTTAGAAATTGTTATCTGCATTGAAAAATTCCCATGAATAATAACAAATATTTCTTCATGTTTCTGCCTGGCCAATTCAGATAGATAAAGTAGTCCTTCAGTTCCCGATCGTTTTTATAAAGTTTTGTAGTCACATTATGATATTTTGTTTTACTCTTCTCATGTTTAATAGATAATAATTTACACCATTCAAGTTATTTCATTAGCTATCCTGTTGTTGGGCTTGTCAGTTCCGCTATAGTCTCTACTCATTTGCCTGTCACTGGTGCTGATAGCTGCTATCTACATGTCACTGGTGTCAATGTCCGTTGTCTACATTTCACTGACGTTGATATCCGCTGTCTACATTCCAAAAAAATATTGGTGGAGTATCGATAATTATTGGCGTCTAAAGGTGGAAATTTTAGGTGGAGCACCGATGGCGCATCGATGCGACATCTATGTCGTGTCCGCTTATTTTCCACTTATAACCTGCCGATGGCCACCCTAACCGAAAATCTCATCTTCCACCAAGAATTACTTCATGGCGGCGATGGCGCATCGATGACCCATCGATGGCCACCTCTAAATTGAAGTCGATTAAAAGTTTTTCGTTAGTTTCAAATCCCATTCATTTCCTAGTAACTGACATTACTTACTCTATTATACATTCAGAGGACTACGTTCACACATCCACCGTTGTAGTATTAGCAACAATGTCAGACATGTAGCCATACCATATCATACACATTCCTCGTAAAGAATTGACTTGAAGAAAAGTCCCTGCCCATATCGCAAAAATTAATATCTGCTGTCTACATGTCAATGGCTTTGGTGAACGTCATTGCCACTACACGTCATTGACGTAGGTGAACGCTGTCTACATACCAGAACGTTAGTTACGTAATTTACAAGTCAGTGAGGTCACTAACATTTGTGAACGCTTTTCACAATCCACTGACGTCAAAAATGTGACGGTAACTCACGGTTTCGACGGCGCGTTGCAGGACGCGGCTTGCGTTGTTCCACCAGGTGATAACTGGCGGGGGGCGAGCGCCGGAGACCTGGCACATCACTTGATACTCGCGGCCAGCTTCTATAGACCCCGACGGCGTCATTAACTTAATGTTCAGCGCTGCCACTGCAACATAAATAATCAAATATAGACCCCGACGGCGTCATTAACTTAATGTTCAGCGCTGCCACTGCAACATAAATAATCAAAATGTCAAGTTTCCATGGCGGAAAAAGGTAAATGTGTGAGTGCTTTATCTTAACGATGCTGTCAATTTTGATTACCGTGGAGTCTCGTTTGATGCGTTGGGAGGATATTAAGGTGAACTTATTCTGGAAAATTAGAGGTCGAGTATTCGAAAAAATAATTTGCGAAACTAGTATTCGGTTCTTTTTTACATTCTTCAAAAATTTTCAGTGATGTTGGCGTTCACTTTTCAATTATTCTTAAAATCATTTTCACTCAACTCCAGTTGTAAAAAATTATTCGATACATATTTTTTAACTTCTAAGTTTCTTTGGCACATATGCAGTGTATTTCCATTTTTTTACGACATTTCCATGAATGATCATCAATTTCTCCGCAATCGAAATGCATTTTCCATGCCTCTCAAATCATATCATTTGTACGGAAATGCAACTTGCACCTTTGTTATAAATTTTATAGGAAAATTTTGTAAATTTTTTAATAGGAAAATAAATTTTCCTCTAAAATCAAACTATTAGCGAACCATCCAAACTACAAATAAATTACCTTTTTTCCTCGTTATTTCAGTTAATTAACTGTAACCTCAAGTCAACCTTGTCCGTCTACGTTTGAAGTAAACCTCAAATATCTACTAGAATATTCATCATGAAATGTTTGTACAATTTCGTCACATAATGCAATTGGTAGCAATATTATCGTGATGTGTATTATGCGAATAGTATTTTACTATCTCATTCATTGCTGTTGTAAAAGTAAAAAAAATTGGGGGCCGCAGGCCCCCTGAGTTTTTACTCCGCGTCTTTCGCGTACTATCACTGTAGTGCACACAACTTTCTCTCATATAATCGATTGAGGCGCTGTGGGGTCAAAGTTTCCGTTCGCGCGCTCAATGCTCGAAAACGGCAGCTCTGATCTCGCTGGAACTTTCACCACTACTAGTCAAAAATGAATTTCAAAGCTTTTTTAGCTCGTGTCACTTTGCGAAAAAATGTCGCCTTCATGCTTTTTTTGCTAAAAAACACTGCATTTTTTAGATTTTTTAGCGAAAAATTCACTTTTTACTTAATAGTTCCTAAACGGCGTGACCTTTTTCGACCAAACTTCCTACACTCACCAAATCGGTGATGACAAAAATTTTCTTGTGTGATTCGTACAAATCCTGTAAGTTTGAGCGTGAAAATGTCCATTTCGAAATTTTGGCAATATCACTTTTTTCCTTATATCTCAACCAAAACTGTCACGATCGGGCTCAAACTTTGCACGCGCATTCTTCCAAAACTGGCTCACAAAATAATCTTTGATTCCTTCCGGAGAGATTAGCCTAGCCTGAGAAAACGCCCGTCAAAATGTCAATTTCTGCCTTTGGCAGATTCGTCATCACGTCCGAAACAAGCATCACAGCAGTTTCGGGTTTATTTCTAACCCTTTGTCACATCAGCAGCTACAAAACGACGCCCAACACACGTCGCAGCTCTTCCTGAAGCGCCCGCAATTTGTCGTTGAAAAATACGTGCTGAGCTGCCCAAATTCCTCTCAGCATTTTCGTTCATATTTTCGAATAATGATTTCAGATTGACTTCAAATTTCATACAACACTGCTAATATCTTTGATACTAATTTTCATGCACTTTGCCGATTTTTCAAGGTCGATTTAGTATTTTAATTTTCGATTTAAAACCAAAACTGAACCGAGCTGTGCTAGAAAAAATGGAAGTCAAGTCGCTATATTTTCATCAAATGAGCACCGATTGAGATAAAACCTCCCACAAGCCTGCTCCAATGTTTCATGAACAATTTTATGTGCCTGACTTTTCTTCTTACTGTGCGAAATTTCAAATAAATTGGTATATGCGTGGTATCTTCTCGCGGTCCAGTCTTGCTGACATTCGGAATTTCCCTCATGAAACGCTGAAAGCGTACTGCGTCGGTACATCAAAATATGCTTCGTCGATAGAATTTGAGAAAAATATATACGTCTAAAATCATAAAATACTCTTTTAATGCCATCCCCATGCATGTATTACCTAATGAAGGCTGAACAGAGATTTTATTGGAAAATTTGATTGATAACTTTATAATGAAAATCGTCATTTCACATTCAACGGAGACACTTTTATTTTTTATTTCTTACCCGATTTTTTTCATGATGTACTGCAATCATTTCACTTCGATTCTATGAATATTAAACTATTGATAATATTCACATTCTTTAGGTTTTTCGACCATCACGGTGTTCAAATGTAAACAAACAAAACAAACATTTTACCATTCTTTAGGTTTTTACATTCTACCGGCTGCTAACTTGTTGGAAACTGAAATATACGCTGTTGTTGCTCATTTAGGCTATGTGTTAAATCATGAGTCATCTTGATTAATTTGTGGAGTATTGTGATTTAATAATAAAAGAAACATAACATAATTTTTTTTCTTGTTGAATATGCAGATTGTAGACTTACCCACATGGAACCATGAAAATATTTCCATTTATTTTCTGAGGATGTGACAAAGGCATGGTCACTATGGAATATTTTAAATTAAGTATCAATTTAGTTGATGTTTGTTTTCTATTGAAAGGACTTCCAGTTAGGATAATGTTTTCCTAGAATTTTTCTTATTCTGATCGACGATCGTGCCCTTCAAGATACAACTCCAGTTGAATAAATATAAATTCAACATAATAGATATGGTGCAGTCTCAAACCATGCACTTTGTAAATTACTGTTCCATGCAGTGGCATGCTCCTTTAGGCAATAAGAATTCTTATTTTTGGCTTCAAGTAGTGAGGTAGAGCCTTCCTTCCATCTTTGGTGCTGCCAAATTTTCACTGAATCATCAAACTGATTGAAAAACAGTGCACTATCAAACGACTATTGGCATCCTAAATTCATTGAAGAAAAATGTCCCATAACTGCAACATTCTGAATCAATTGACCGATAATTCTCAAGCTAGAATAGAATGACTTATGACAATTAGTTGCCATTTAGCACTAGGCTGTATAGTAAGGCCGTTTATTTCGCAATATCGGTGTCTTTTTTTGAGATACCGGCCTGACACTTAGTCGCTATTCAGCACCAGGCTCTAGAGTAAGGCAGTTTAGTTCGCAATATCGGTGTCTTTTTTTGAGATACCGGCCTGACACTTAGTCGCTATTCAGCACCAGGCTGTAGAGTAAGGCCGTTAGCTCACAATATCGGCGTCTTTTTTTAGATATTGGCGTCTAGCTCAAAATATTTGCGTCTCCATCATGACACCTGAATTGCCACTACCTGAAATCTTTTGAAATAAATTTTTAATTAAGGGGAGCGTCTAACCCAAAAATTATCTCGGCTATTTACAAAGGGATCACTCTAAAACTTGGTTCACATATGTAAAATGGAAAAAAACTCACATTTTGTTCGTGTGAATTTTTCGAAAAAAATGAAAGAAAACGTGAAATTCATAGAAAACGGTCAGAAAGGGGGTTACTTTTGAAATCTATCTCCTCCTAGGAATTTCAAGCTACGACATCGAAACACATATCATTCGATGCGTAAAATCTTTATCTATAAAACGACTTAGCCGTTTTTTAAATTTCTTATTTTTGCGGGTGTGGGAGCATTTTTCGTGAAGTTTTCGGAAATTTTTCGATTTTACCCCTTTCCACCCCCCCTTTTTCAGGAATAAAATCCAAACTATGACGAAATTGTAATTGTTTTGTAGATCTATTCTTTGCGAATCGAATGGTTTATGTCTCATTGTTGTAGCTTCAAAACTCTAGGAGGAGATAGGTTTTCCGTGACAATAAGTGTGAATGTTGAGGAGAGCGCGACAAAGTCCCGAGCGCACTGCAATAGGCGCTTAATATAGCATAGATACCAAACTAAACGTTTCTGGAGCTTGATTCCACAGAAGGATGGTGGGAGCGACTACATGCGCACCTCTCCCTACAGAGCCCGGAGGCACACTGAGCTACACCTCATAGAAACACTGTATTTGTATTGCAGGGCAGCGAATTAGCTCCTATGTAATTACTGAAAGAACTCTCCCCCCGCCCCCCTTTCATGAAGTGTCGTGAACGTACAAATCAACGTACAGAGATGGTAATGGTACCGTTGGATAGGCCAGAATGTCAGCTTTAAGCTAATTAGTTCCTATCTAATTACTTAAATAACTCCCCCACCCGCCCCCTTTCATGAAATGTCGTGAAATCATAAATCAACGTACAGATATGGCAGTGGTACCGTTGGATAGGGCAGAATGTCAGCTTTAAAATGAGTATAAAAACCGACAAAGTGAAAATTTTCAATTTTAGGGTAGACGCTCCCCTTAATAAACCCGTTTTGGGGACTATTCAAAGAGATTTCATATATTTAAATGAAATATATAAAGAAGATTTTAATGAGCCGAGTAAACTGACGTCACGTTTGTCATGATTTGATTTTCACGAAATGCGTTGGGATTGTATAACATCAAATTTAATACTCATGGCTTTGCCATGTTTTTTGACAACACCCTGCGGGTCATGCTACCTGGGACAGGTAGCGTGATCCGCATACAGCGCGTTCTACGCGCTCTCCTGACCGCGAAGCGGTTTTCGAGCACAACTGGGACGCGCAAGGCGCTTTCTCGAGCATGGAAATGAACGGTTTTGAACATATTCGAATTGATTATATTCAGATAGATGCGCTATCATACTTGTTGTGATATCCATGTTTAAATTTTAGATTGAGTATGGTCGAAAGGAATTAATTCAAAATTCGTGAATGCTTTATAATTGAATGTTTTCCGGCCGCAAACGTTTTGCTCAATTTTGGCAATGATGGTGTCAAATTTCAATGCTCAACATTGCTACTAAGGGTAACGTCATGATGAGTTGAAGCTGAATATATTGAGAAAGCACATGATCATAATACTGAAACCTCTTTAGGGCTATTTGAGATGCTTCCACCAACGATACTGCTTTCAGGTTATGTGCAAGTGGTAAAAAAATTTTTTTAAACTGCATTTGGCATGTCCAGCTGTCGTTGGATGAATTTTTTTTGGCAATTATCAAGGGGCTCAGCAAAACTGGACATGGAGGTTAGGTGGAGAATGCAGAGTTATTTTCAAATTGAAAGTGCGTTTTGAAATATCGTCTAGTGGTGTGACAAGACACCGAATAGACGGTTATATTTGTAAAAGTGGCACTCAAATGGGAGTTATGTTGACAGTGACACATTATAGTTATTGCTTTCGAAGTTAGTATTATTGAATAGGTTAGGTTGGAGATAGGAAGTGCAGATAGAGGGTGCACATTAGGGTTAGGTAGGGGTGGCAGAGATGTTTTTAATGTGGACGCGCGTTTTAACAAATCTTTTGGTGGTCGGATGTGGTACCCAAAATGATTGTTGGAAATAGATTGTGAGTTATGACCCCACTGGGGTTAGGTCAAGTCTGGAATAGATTCGGTTAGTAATAGCCAATTGCCAAGGCCCACTGGGATTAGGTCAAGCCAGGAACAGGTTCTGTTAGTGGTAGCTGATAGCTTAGGCCCACCGAGGTTAGGTCAAGTCAGGAACAGGTTTGGTTAGTTTGATTCCCCCCACTGGGTTTAGGTCAAGTCAGGAACAGGTTCGGTTAGTGTGATTCCCCCCACTGGATTTAGGTCAAGTCAGGAACAGGTTCGGTTAGTGTGATTCCCCCCACTGAGGTTAGGCCAAGTCAGGAAGAGGCTAAGTTTCGTTTAGGCATTGAGGGTCATTGACGTTCTTATTGGTCGACTATATATAGAAGATTAATTTTGCTTTAGATAGATTTGTTATCTAAAGCGAATGAAACACGTTGTGAGATGTGTGGTTAGGTAAAGAATAAAGAAACCTATGGTAATAGAAGTAAAATATGGTAATAAAGAAAGAAATAGGGGGGTTTTGAGTAGGTACATCTGGTTCTTCATTTGCAAATTCCGTACAGACTCATATACAGTTTCCTTGCTAGCGTCTATCTCAGCTGTAGCGTCTACCTAGAATGTGGTTGGTATCAAAGCATTTCAATGTTTAACAATAGTAAACAACAAAAATCACACTAAAGCTAGAAGAATCACACTAAAGCTAGACACTAAAGCTAGAAGAGCCATTGAATAAACTCCTAATAAATGAAGTAGTTAAAGAATACAACATCCGGCATTACTCACGGTTCATGTCGATCATGACTACGACAGAGGTAGGCAAGGTGATGTTGTTGTTTGATGCTTCGCAAGTGAGAAGCTTTTTCAGGTCTTGCCTGGTAAGCGGACCTAGAGACAATGTATTGTAAGGCTTGCCATCGAACATCAGTCTAATGGCATCAGGAATCTTCTCTGTGTGAGGTGCCAAGGATATCGGCGCAAGATCTGAAGTAGTGAAGTTTTTATTCAAAGTTACGCTCTGTTCCGTGGAGATGTTGGGGAATACAAGTTCTGACATGGAAGAGGCTGAATAGTTGATTTCCGACTCCATTAAACTGTCAAGAAGTCTAGTGTCTTCGAACCAAACGACGGTTGGTGGAGGCTTTCCTGTGGATGAGCGACAAATTCTAATAAGGAGATGGAAATACTGGAGAATATCATCTTTTAATTGTGAAGCTATGGCAATAACTTCGATTTCATTCAAATTTTAAAACACTGTTTATAAGCATTATTTCATTCAAATATTGAAAGGTTTGTATAGTGGCAAGAATTTCATCAGAATATTCAAACATTGGTCATAAATAAAATTTATGGAATAACTACGAACTGTTAATAAGTTGATTTTCTGTGAAGTAGTGGAACACTGGTGATGATTTTGAGACTAAAAAATTGGCTAATTTCCTATTCATATTCCTATTGCGCTTTCAGGAAGCGGTATCAATGACCAATAATCGGCCGTAACTGACTCACTCATTATTATTATTATTTTTCCAAGTCATTCAATTGGACACCTGGAACAATAAGCGAATATTGCGAGTGAGAGAGAATCAAAGCGATCAAGTGCATCTTCACTACTGTAAAGCCTTATTATGTATACTTGGTATCTCAATATTATTTTCAAGTATTAAATCGCAGGATAATCTTTTCGAGTATTAAATATCTGCTTGGGGTAGTATCAGCCTTTATTCAGCCCAGACAAAAATCTCTACTTAAATGAGATTATTTCTGGAATTATTTATTAATAATGATCTTACTTGTCAAAAAGTATTGCATAATTTTTTTAGATCTTGAGCTATTGCAATGAATAAAAATCATTCGCCCCGTGGCAAAGCAATCAATGATTGAAATTAAACTACTGAAAAATGCACCAGAACATATCGATATGAAATCCTTTTCTGAACCTATAAAAATCGTTTAGTTTCTAATTTTTTCAAACAAAACTGGGCAAATGAAAACCGCACAAAACGCTGTCTGGTCAGATAATAAATACATTATAATCCTTCACTAATTGGCTTATTGAACAACAATAAAAACCGTTCCCCGTGGCGAAAACCGTCTCCCTTATCGAAGGTTGTGCTGACCGTTCCAAGTACGTACGATAAACGTACCGAATGCATCGACCGTTCTTCTACGTCAGCTGGTTAAACCACAGGGCGGTTCATCAATGGATGGAATTGGAAACTTTAAACGAAAAAATAAATAAATTTGGCACTCACCGCCCTGGGCGACGCAGGTTAAAGTGACCATGTCGCCCTCGTGCAGCGGCCCCACGACGCTCGACACGGCGTGCGGCAGTGACGAGCCTTCGTACACGACAACGCTCGTCGGGGGCACTGCAGTGATGAACAAGTCGTAACGTTCAAATACGATATGAATAATAATCTTATTAAAAGGAAATAATAAGATTATACGACTGGAATCCGATTATTATTACGTTCAATAGTTGTACATGTAATCTAAGTGGAAACAGAAGCTACGGATAAAAATATCAGTGTAAATTTTCCAATGGAGACGATATATGTGAATGGAAACATTTTGCTAGAGAATTACTGTGATAATCAAGCTGTGATGCAATTTTAGTGAATTATAGAACAATATATTAGGAAATGAAATCTGTGCATAATTAATTATTAATGACATTGTGGAAAAGATGAGAGTTTTCAAAATCTATTTATTAAACATTGCAACTGTACAAATTTTAATTCATTTGACGAAAACATTCCAAATTGCAAACACTAAGATGAGAAGCTTAATGATTTAAAATCCCATGCAAAACAGAATTTACTTTCTCCAGCTAAAATTGATTCCTGTGTGTAAAAAAAATTGCATTTTGAGAAAGTAAATTGCAGCTGTTGTTTCAAATGTCAGAACTCATTACTTTCACAGTTGGGGTACAGCAGCATCCTTTATCTTCCTGCTCTAACATTTAGCATCGTGACAATAAGGCTTGAGAGATTTAGGACTAAAAATACTCCATAAGATACGAACAATTTTCACTCAAAAACAACGACAGAAATCCCTCAGCTTCCCTCGACCAACACAAAACGTCTTCATTCCTTGTTTACCCGCACTCACCGACAACACTGAGCACAACTCGTGTAGTTTTCGTGGGCTGTTTTCTGAAGTCTACCCTGCAGTGGTAGAGCCCAGCATCGTCTTCTCGTAAAGACTTCACAACTAACTGAGCAGGCAAGCTCAGTACCTCTAAAGAGGCTCTCGCTCCCAGCGCATCTTCAGCCGACCAGTGAGAAGTGCGTCGGCTTGAACCTGAACGGTCGTCGTACCTGAGAAAATCCCGAAGAGAAAATGTGGTTTCTTCGTTCAAGAAGGTTTCGTGTGCCTGCTAGACTTGGTTGTGAAATGACAAACAGCGATCGTCACGTCTGGAAATTTTCTAGACAAACGAGGTTTTTAGTGTGCACCAAAATAATTCCAGTGCTGCGTGGGCCTGTTGTTAAAGAAGCTTGAGAAAATTTGCACGTGGGTCAAAAATTTGTGAGTAACACAACGCATATACTCTAAGTAACACATGGTACGTCAGCGGTTATTCCATATTCTTAGAGAATTATAAATGTGGCTATATTTTACCTGATGTTGTCCTGTTGCTAGAGAAGAATTATAACAAAGGAAGCCTGCATGTTGAAAATAGTTATTATTTAAATGAAATGTTAAAATCTAGAGAATAGTTATTCCCCTAAAAGATCAAGTAAATTTTACGGTCCTTGTCATTCTTCGGGTAGAACAGCAGACGCGATTCTCATAAAACTAAGATACATTTTTAAAATATCTATACATTGCTTTCAGAGCTCCATGAAAAACGAAAACTATTTATTTCTTTATTATAATCTTGTCTTAAAGTCATTGGAAAGAGTGCTATCAAAAAAGGATCTGATGATTTTCAACATAAATTTTCATGGATAATTTTTCAAATTGGTCAGAATAATAATTTTCAGGCAAGATAAGAATAAATTAAGTGATATTAACATAATTAAAATATTATTTCATAGCTTAGTCAAGCAATTTTTTACAGACCACCGGAATTTTTTTACCCGTTTTTATGATAGAGATATGTATGAAAACACCATCAATGGAAGCGTTTATATCACAGGAAAGTATATTATTAATATCTATATATTATTTATTTAATACGATTTAAGAACTTTTTCTATTTAATGAAAAAGGCGGTTTGTTGCCATCTCCTCTTTCTAAATTTTGTATCTTGTGATAGTTTGGTGGAGTTTGTAATTCATGAATTTCCCGACTCGAAACGCCTAATTTATTTATAGCATGAATTTTGTAATAGGATGCATAACTTAATATTTTGTGATACTTAATATTATATATTACTTCATACTACACCTAACTTCATAGTATGAACCAACTAACAGCTTGCATTAGTTTAAATGCTTGCGTTACTTAAGGAAACTTCTGCATTCCATGAAGGTTTGAACCGATAGAGATGATGAATTTCTGAACTAGAAATAGAAAATAATTTGAATTGATGCATTTGTTTTCTAACTTTGATGATTTGTCATAAAATCTATATTACATTAAATTTTAATTACAGAATTTTGTTTCTAATGAAAATGACTGACCTTCGAACTAGGCAAGGTACTTCGGCCAATGACTGAATTATTGAAGGTAATGTTAATTAAAAGGAAGACCCAAAGTCTACAGCGTATATATTACATATATCATTTTATGATCGCAACGATGAATTCATAACTATTCTATTTTCTATTTCCATATTTTTACATAGTTTGAGTACATCAGGGTTTTCAGCGGAACGGGGTGTAAACACATGGGCAGTCATCAAATTCATATTTTAAAATTCTATGATTAAAACAACAAATGCGGTAAATCTCTTAGAAGACAGCATTTATGAGAGTATCTGCATTTAAAGTTGAGTTAAAATACCTCTTTCTAGTTTTATCAATACACATCGCCTGAGGGCTTAAATCACCAATATCTAGCCTATCGATATGCTAACTAATTCATCAGCCCTTGAAAGGCTGGCGATTTATAGACACATTAATCTTGCCGTGCAGCAGAACTGTTTTGATCTTTCCATCGATACGCTGGGGCTTTAAGAAAACGAGCAGCAAGAAAATCGCCTTTAAAGTGACGTTTAAAACGAGTGAGCCGCTATTTTTTCCGTCATGAGCCTAATTTCCAGCACGCATTCTGCAACGTATTCATTTTGACAAGAAGTTCATTCAGCGTTGATGCACCCCATGGTCCTCGGAACACTGAATATTACCAGAGAATAAAATTCCAGCATAACTTCAGATCGAGAAAGAAGTTGCGTGAGATCTTTCGATACTAATTTTTTGTTCAACAGTTTTTTGCTCTGAAAATGCAGAATTTTCTTTTCTTGCCTCATGCAATACCTGCGCTGCAGTGGTTTTGGAGAAAAATTAATTTAATTTCAGGAAAAATATAACGATCTATACTGTTTATTATATTATATGTGGTTATGGTCCAGGCCGCGAAAAATATGCATAAAATTTAAATCGCCGTCACTTTATATATTCGAAGTAGCAAAAAATTTATATGCTGAATTCTCCTCAAAATAAATGGAAATCTATTCCTTCCAAAAGTTTAAAATAAAATGAAAGAGGCAAATACATGAACACATTAAGATCAACACAGATTATTGAATAAGAACGAACACGATCACAAAGAGAATTAGATAGATTAGAAGAGATTAGATTATAGTTTCTTAGTCATCTTTATTCCCGAAATATAACATGGAATTAATATCACCGAATTATATTTTTTTGCCTATCGGGAGAACCATCACTGGAAAATTATTATTGCATATTAATTTCATATAAATATGAAATTCCCAACACAGCTTTATCAATATTGAAGCATCATAGAATATTCCAGTATACATTTACAGGTATTCACGAACAATATCTTTGAAAAATACACGTTTAATGCTTTAATTCCGGACGAAAATTTATTTTTTTTTGGGAAATATTCGTTCGCTGTTGCGGGAGTGGACTGCGAGTTAAGTAGTTGGAAAAAACATTTTTCAAACATTATGCTGCATATGTTAATTCACTTTTCATAATTGAAATGATTTACGTCAACCAAGATTGCCCGAATTAACTAAATCGTCGTGAAGGGAGTTATCGATAATATAATGATAGCAATGATATGATATAATGATAGCAGTCTTATACAAACTGAAATAAATCGTGTTTATCGTGGCAGGGCTACTCTCCATTCTATTTATTCTCTATTCTATTCATAGAAAAAAGTTATTGAAAAAATTCTGTCAGATTGAAGAAAATTAATTGCCATGATGTTAATGCCCGGGCACAAGGGTCCTACGGTCGTCGGATCTTATGTATCAAAAAGCGACAGGATATGGAAGGATTTTACGGGGACTTCCCGTGAGAAATGAGCCGCGGCATGACAGCGTCCCTGAGTTATGACGTCCCGGCGGCAGCTCTGAACTCCCCTGAGGAAACAGACTCTTCCTGACATCCATCATATCCTCTGCCACAACAGAGCAAGGGTTGGGGATATAACACTCATAAAAATGAAGCTTGGCGTAGGTCAGAACCTCTGCCACAACAGAGCAAGGGTTGGAGATATAACACTCATATAAATGAAGCTTGGCGTAGGTCAGAACCTCTGCCACAACAGAGCAAGGTTTGGAGATATAACACTCATAAAAATGAAACTTGGCGTAGGTCAGAACCTCTGTTACAACTGAGAAAGGGTTGGAGATATAACACTCATAAAAATGAAGCCTGGTGTAGGTCAGAACCTCTGCCACAACAGAGCAAGGGTTGGAGATATAACACTCATAAAAATGAAGCTTGGCGTAGGTCAGAACCTCTGCCACAACAGCTCAGGGCGACCATAAAAATATTCTTAAGATATAATACCCATAAACAGGAAACAATGTGGCTCTTGTCAGAACCATGTCATAGCCGCCCTTGACGCTCATGGGTAGGGAAAGTAATTCTTCACGAAAAAATAGCATACGATAATGTAGAACCTCGGCCACAATAGCTTGTGCCGAACTAATGCTGAATAAATAATATACTCATAAAAGGGAAATATCGGACCTTCGGTTAGTACCTTGCTATAACAGCCCTACACAACGCACAAAACTGGAATTGTAGTTCAATTAGATAGCAATGTCATTTTTACCGTTAAATTGGCGTGGTGAGTCTTTACCTGTAAATTGAGGTGGTTAGTCCTTTACTGTAAAAAGAAGTGCTAAGTTTTTACCTGTGAATAGGAATGAATAGTCCTTACCTGTTAATATAGGAGTGAATAGTCCTTATATGTTAATAGTAGTTGCAGATCCTCACCTGTAAATAGGAGTAGTTAGTCCTTTTTTGAACCACAGCAGCAGCAATATGGCGTCGTCGCCGGGATGCTGCACGTTGCAGGGTAGCGCTGTGCTGCCGCCCACCACACCCACCACCTCCACCACAGCGACTTGGAAAAAAACATAACAATTCTATTAGTTTAAAGTGTTTTTTAGTTTACAAATTATTCACAATCTTTTACAGAAAGACACTTTATTTTCCTAGAATGGTCTCAAGATTTCGATCATTCGTTCCTGAATGATATCGCTTTTCAATGGCAATAGGATTGTTAGTTTTTGAGCTGTTCAGTTCGATCACGTAATAGACATTTTCACTCGACCGTAGCAAATTCCATGTGTAAATTAAAGCCTTTGTTCACGGAGATCATAATATCGGAATTATTTAATCACAAACTTCATATATATTCACAAACTTCAAATATATTCTTAAAATATATTATATATAACAATTCAATTATAACTTATTTTAGAATATTCCAATAATTGGCTATCGACCTCTCGAGGCACTCGAGTACTCTGAACTCAGAAGAAGTGCTGCTCATTTCTGAGCCCCAGTTAATTTAAAGTATTCTCCGCAATATTAGTTGTGAAATTATCTTCAATTCTTAAATTAATACACCGCTTCTAAAGAATAAATGAATAAATTCTTTCATATGAGAGCGCCAGCTTAGGCACAGATTCATTAGCAGCTAATGCACAGCAGCTTATGCACATATTCATTAAAATTTATTTACCCGTTTTATCAAATAAAAAAGACAATATAACGGAAAATATTATTGAAATTTGAAGTAATGAAATCGCCGCGTTTTCCCTGAAACTGCGTGACTTGGTTTGAAATTTTCAAGTTCAAGGTAAATAATCACACAATTGTATTGATGTTTGAGATTTACAAGAAACCAAATGTACGGTCTCCTTAATTTAAAATATAAATGTAAGTTATTGTATGAAATTTAACAAGATAATTGAAAAGTCTTAAGTTGTTGCGACAGAATTTTACTCATTGTAAAATTCATTATTCCAGTTCAGATTTCCGTCATGCATCACAAGTGACGTCAAATGAAAAATTATGATGCATGACTACTTTGTCTATGATGAGACCTCAAGTAAATCTTAACATTAAATCATCACTCAGAAGGAACTGGGGGTTGAGACTGTCCAGTGATTGAAACATTTTCTTCTTCATTTGAATCGAGCGTTAGCAATGTGAATATTCTGATTTTATTTGCATTTCTATCAGGGGAGTACTTATTTCATTAGCTTGCCAAAATTGCAAGTTCATGATGTTATTGTTGATGTCAATTTAGAGTGGAGTAGTTTAGACTTAAGGAAGATACAATTAAGATACTAGAATGAAAGCACCAACTCCGTTTGCATATTTTAATACAAGGAATCACTGTCCTCGTTTCTAAAGAGACCAGCACTAAAGCAACATCTTCGAGTGTTCAGAAAAACTACCTCTTGACTGACAGTAGAAGTTATACTAGTTGACGTAAAACTTTGCTCCACGTCACGCTGAATGTGGTAAATATAAATCTTTTGCCCGTATTTTTATGCTGCTACTTCTGTTTCTACCTTAGTGATTCCAATGAGACATAAACGAAGATAATGCGAGGCCCTGACATTCCTCGCCAACCTTTGACCTGCTGCGACATCGACCCCTGGACGTGTCTGCTCAGCGCTGCAGGATGTGAACTGCAGGCGTCCTTGAATAATTTATAGTAGGCGCTCCATGTCGTCTGGTTTTTCTTATTTGATGACACAGCTAAAAATGCAGTTCCGTAAATATTATCCTGACGCCGGAAAATTACTAAAGATAATTTTGCATTTTACATGTTCATTACGGAATTTTTCGAATTTTTGCATAATTTCTTTGCCTTAAGTGCCAAGCTCGAAAATCAGGCCTTTTAGATGCAAATAAAATTACACGAAAATATACCTGGAAGGACTCGACCGCCTCCTGGAAATTTCGCACCCATGCTTCTTAGAAGTTTCAAATATTGACCAATCTCTTGAAGCTTCACATATTGACTGAATTTTGAAGCATCGATAGATGAGAGAGACGCCCGGCACTTCGCTTCAATTTGGGCATCGGCGATGATAAAGCCATTATGATGCAGATATTGCCAGGCATCCCTGCTAGAAATAACAGCGCCGATTTGCAACTCTAGCGCCGGAGAAAATAAGTTCGCTCTAAATTTGCATTTGTCCGAGCGATTTTCTCCGACGAAAGCAGTTACCAGGAAATAAAAATTTCTGGGAGCCCGGCAGCACTTAGGCACGGTAAATTTTCCTGTGGCATTTAGTTTAGAATGACATAAAGCCAAATTTTGAGACAATTTTTTTATCACCAAAAATATTTACTGCAGACAGCCTGATTTTGAAAAATATAAAATGCTCAAACTTTCTCACCTGCCTCATTAAGTTTCGATCATTGTCAATAAAAACTCCGGCGTTTACCAAAATAACGTCTGACTTCAATCAATGGAGAAAAACATCAATTTAAAAACAATTCAAAGTAAAATATTATGAAAAAAATATTCTGTTTCGCGTTGGACTTTCAACTCCTACAATTTCTTGCAATCTGAACTCACGTAAAAAAAAGTATTGATGTAGATTTGTTGAAGTTATAACGGATCAAGCAGCGAGCGACCGTAGTGAAGATTACTATGGTATATACTATTTTTTGCATCATTCCGAGTAAATTTTCCTGTCATGGTTGCTGCTGCCAATTTGGCTTCAATTAAAGACAGTCGAATAATGGAACCTTTTATTGGAAGGCGACGCCTACTAATTGAAAAAAAATATTGCTGTATCGTTATCGGGCACCAACCGTAGGCTTTACAGCGGCCGCCAAAACCCCGACTTTGTGATCAACTTTAACATCTTCCAACAACGCCTGATTCTTTGGCAAAGAAGAAAAATTCGACTCGCTTTTGACGCAGACGTTCATTAGACGAAAGTTTTCATTAATTAAAGGAGCACGCTTCCATACAAATTAGATTTGTTTGGAAGAGAAAATTCCCAAACACCAAAATGTTTTAATGAATTTCAAGAAAATCAAAATTAATGAGTGATGATATTTTGCTCATAGAGTTTAATGTTCTATATATGTGTAAACTGCAGCGATGCAAGATGATCGGTATTCCTTAAATGACTTTCATCATGGATCGAAAAACCCTGCCTCTGAAGCGTATCCATGTGCTCGTCCTATCTTGGTATTTCAGCAGAGCATATCCAATTACACTTATTTCGTTAATTATTACCACTAGATTTAGTCTCATTATGTTCTTCGTATCAAACATAATCAGTTATTAATCGGATCTCGGATGGATAGATGCTCACCAGCCTTCAATGCGCCCCCAATTTCTAAATGTGAGCGATGTTTTTTTATTTCATTTCAAACGCAACTGTTGCATTCCAGCTTCACAAATTTATTTTCTATCTATTTTGTTAGTCTGGGACATGTATGTCACGCACATTGTACGGGCGGACAATTCATTAAGCGTCTTGAGTTTTAGTTTCGTATTTAGAATGTAGATAGCAAGCTCTCGAATGGAGAGTAGAAATATTTGATAACTGTTTCTCAATTCTGAAGATTAATTTTACCAAGTATACAATTGTTTTTATGTCGTGTACTAGATTAAAAAAGTGAGATTTTACTTCTCAGTCATATCTTGTTTGCAATAATAATTTTATCTAAGGAAACCGCTCTCTATGAGAAAACAAAATGAAATAACAGCCTTCGAATATTTTTGTGAACGAGTCTACACAACAGAGAATATCTGCTGGCGCTGCGTGCCGTCCATCTACGAGCGTCGCGCGTGTTTTAGCGTCGCCAGTTACGAGCAATCCGAGGGAAGCTTCCCCTCGTCAATGACGCCTCAAATGTCATCATATTTCACGCAGCCGTTTATTATAAACTTTTTATTGAAGCTATTAGCGCCTGAGTGGAGCCTTAACAAATCTTGAAAATATCTTCATACGAATAATTATTTAGACTCCAAATGTTGTGAGTTACTCTTTATAATAGGTGTGAGGATGCCGTTTGGAGCTTCTACGTTGTAATTCACTTTTAATAGTAATGAATGCTCAGGGCTAGTTTTCTTAGTTATTCTATAGTTTTCATTTGTTCATGAGGTGGAGTTTTGAAATTCGATTTTGAAATTGCATTTCCGACAGAACTGATTGCAATGAGTTTTCACCATATTTTTTGCATTATTATTCTAAATATCCAGCATTTTATCTCATAGTTGTAGAAAAAATATTAAATTTATTTTGCTTTGTATTTATAACATAAAATTTATTCAAATTAACGTCAAGCCCGCATGCACTACAGGATAACTAATTGGGTTGATGGGCCATATCTTCGTTCCAAGTTGGAGAAATGCTCTTCAAAGTGGCCGGCGTGGCAACCCTGCGAGAGACTGACGATCGAAGTAACCAAGAGAGGCGACACTTTTTCCTTTGACGCAGCATTCAAGTTTGGCGGGAACGAATGTTACCCGCGAAGTTAAGCCACTTGAGGAGGAAACTTGAAAAAGTCTCAACCAGAAACGTCAATTGGAATGAAACGAAATGGTTGAACGCGAGAAAACCGGTCATACAACAAAAACAAATATTTGCATAATGCATACAGTCATACAATATATAAAATGTTCCTCTCTTGTACCGGCGTCATCAGACTGTCATTGCATTATAGTTCAGTGAAGCTATGCAATCAAATTATGCCAGATTTTTTTTTTGGTTACGCAAAGTTATCTAGTTAGTATTCATTTGTACCTAAATTATTGAACAAAACCTATTAAGATTCCAGATAATAATGATGGTTCAAAATATTGCGTGATGTGTAGAACATTGACACCCAAAATAAGGTTTTCGCATGATGAGGAAATGGTATCAATTCAAATTCATCGTTTATTATCTTTTTCAATCAATATCTTTCATTCAATTTGCATTCAAAAATTTCCGTACTTTTTGCTGTTAACATTTCCAAGCTTGATCCATTTGTTCTCTATTTGCGAGCAGATAAGGACTATGGCATTCTCTCACGAACTCCAAGAATTATCTTTTCAAATAAAGAAAGCCTTACTTTTGAAATTAAATTTGGATGAAATTTATAAATACTCGCCTGCTAACATGAAGGTTTTAATATATTTTAATAAACTGTCACCCCAAATACTTTGGTGTTGCGCAAAAGACATATTATGTATCAGTTAATAACTAAAGGCATGTTTTGGAAACAGAAAAATTCAATTTCACTAATAAGGTTCTGAAACATGCGTAACATATACTAACCTTAAATTTATTGCTTAGCCGTATCATACATATAGAGATATTTTGTATCATCATGCTTTATTTGACAACTTGATAATAATAAGAAATTCAGGTATTTTCTATGTTGACGTTCAATTTTTTTTCTCCTTAATCTCAAGCGATAGCGATATACTATTATTCCCTTATTTTACGGCAAAATAATTTTCGATATTCACATAAACGATTTCAAACATTTGTTCCCACAACTTCCAATAATTACTAAATTATTCAACATTCATGTCATAATTATTTCGAAATATTCACAATAGTTTGCCACTTACTTCGTTTCATCTCGAGCGCCGCTGCCGAGTAAGCGAGCAGCGCCGCGATGACGTGAAGGCAGCCCAGCGTTGTTATGAAGCCAAATCTTCTCATTTTAAATTCCCAATTTTCCCTCGAGTCTTTCACTGCAGGCAACGAGAAGACGGGCTTTGTTGCTTCTCAACTCGAGACATCATATTTGAATTTTTCATTATAATTTTTTTCGCCACTTCGTTTTTAGACAATAATGTCAGCAACTTTCCAAGCCGGTTCTTGTGATAAGAAAACTTTATTTGTGACTCATACATCGGAGACTTTTTTCTTCACTGTTTCAGTTCAGTAATACGTGAATGCATTATCTGACCAATTTTTTAAGAGTATCTTAAAATAATGCAATTAGATACAACAGGGCTTAATAATTTTTCACTCTCGAATTTACGGGTTCCTTTTCTCATTCATTTTTAGACAATGTCCGTTAATTTAATACCCATGAAAATGAAATTCAACCAACGAAAATTATAGCTTTTTCGTGCAGAATAATTTTCCTGGAAGTTCATATACAATTTGTAGAAAAAATTGCGCCCTGATGTCTGTAGAACGTGTGTGAAATAGGAAATTTATTCCGCTTCGATTATTGGGTAAGTAGTGTTAAATGAGTTCAATTTATATAGCTGTACATTTCAGCAAAATCTGGTTCATGGATCATGATATGTCGTTCCTGTTAGTGAAATTAACCGAGTAATTCAAAGTAAGTTTATGATTATTCACGATGAAGCCAATCCATTTCTAGAGTAACCTTAATTAAAACAAAACAAGTTACATTTAAAATTTAGCACCAACTCTAAAAAACTTAAAAAACATGGGATAGTTGAAGCAATATCGCCCGAGCTCACCTATGTATAATGCAAGATAATTGCTCTCCAGCATTCCAAAACAAACCAAAACTGCAGCGCGTTTTTGGCATAGCTCTGCAGCGCTACCAAACAGCTGGATTCATTTACTGCGGGTGACTGTTTCATTGCAATTATACAAATAAAGTATGAAAGTTTTAAAATATATTTGACCTTACCAGACCATTTCCTCGCTGGTTTGAGAGTTGGTCTCCATAACTTTTAGGATTTTTGTTTGTTTGTATGGTTTTGCTTACTTTTTTATGTCGTTCTTAGGTGTACGCTTATAACTTTGATGCATTAGGTAAAAAAAATATTTAAGTTATTATTCATAAAAGTTCGGTAACATGTATTTTATTATAGTTAAAAACCACAATTTATGCAGTAATGCGGGTCGCAAGTGATCTCCCTTAAACATTCTTATTTTAGTGTCAATTCGATCGATTTTATTACTGATAGAAGCAATAATTTATTCAGTAATGAGTGGCCCATTAGTTAAATGCGAATGCATCAAACATCCCAATTTCATTGTTGCTGCATTTGTTTTATTTCAGTTGAAAGTTACAATTTTTTCAGTAATGCTAGGCACAGTTCTTCGATGCGACTACCTCAAACATTACCACTGAAGAACTGCTAACATTTGCTTTATTTCATTTGCAAGTTACAATTTATTCAGTAAAGCCAGGCACAGAATTTAGATGCGACTACCTCAAGCATTGCGCTTTGAGTGCGGCCACAATTCACAGACTTGCCTTTGAAGTCACTCGAAGGGGCGGACAGGAAACGGCTTGACGATGCAACAGAGGATGGCCACGCAAGCTGACTGAGCAGCTCAGAAATCATTACGGAATGCCAGCTTTAGGCAATTTAATAGCAACCTAAAGGCATCCGGCGAATTTCAACTTAGTGCCAGCTTTAGGCAATTTAATAGCAACCTAAAGGCATCCGGCGAATTTCAACTTCGTGTGTGGGAATTGTTAGTAAATTATTGGACATTGTTGAATGGAAAGTCTATCTCTACTGAATTTGAAAGCACCAGAGATGCAATTCGTGCAATTATATAATAGCTAATATAATTCCATCGAATGAAATGATATCGACAGAGGGCGAGCAGATAATTTTCGGATCCTAAATTAAGTGCTTGATTTTGTTAGGATTCAATGCTTTGAAATGTTTAATAGCAACTCATAAAAAAATTATTTACGGTGTTGAAATTTTTAGTAACAATTTTGTTCGTAATATAGCGAATTTTGCTAGACACTTCTATCAACTGAAGTCTCATCAATGCAGCAGAATATTTTCCCAGCAGTTTAGAAATAAAATAGTGGGAATTTTAAAGTTCATAATTTAATGAATTTCTCCAAATGCAACGTCGGTCCATTTTAAAACAGGATCAATAATTGGAGGACGTGTTCTTTGATTAATTTTTTAGTTAAATTTCTTTTAACACCATATGCGTCAATGATTTCATAATTAGTTCATGTAGCATTACTTGAGAACGTTTTTTTTAATAAATAAATTTTATTTTTTCTGTCTATATTTAATTAAATTTTCCCATAATTAGACCTTTCCTCGTGAAATTCTATTGAATCATGTGAGCTCTCATATTATTAATTCATTGGATTTTCGAACTGAGTTTTTGTCTTGCATCCACTTTGGGTTTAAGGTATGTTAAATTCAGTCTGAATTTTTTAATTCCCATTTTAAATGGAATTAATTTAATTTTCAAATAGAAACATTTATTGCAAATAGATAATATTAATAAAATTCATATTTGAAATTCATAATTAACCGCTGCAAAGAATTTTGCAGTGCCCCACCATTTTTAATTTATGCTAATTATAAGAACATAATGGCCGGGATTGAAAAAATACAGTACCCGCTGTAATTGAGGATTAATGTTGGCGAGGTCATGGGCTGTAAATTTAAGGTCTCTTGTATGAGAAAGACATAAATTTAGTTTGTTGCCCGGACCGAACCTTCTCCTTGCTGGCTGGTCCTTTCAGTTCATAATTAGGCCACAAAATATACGACGGCCGAGGAACGTGGCCGCAGACGAGGAATTAGTGCAGGCAAGATTGCACCTTCAATGTTTTTAGAAATGGAAAACGTGGATATTTTCAGCGGCGGGGAGAATGTTAAGTGAGCTGCTTGGAGTATCCCGGAAATTTTTATTTCCAAGTGGCCCTTCTAAAATCAGCTTGAGAGCAAATCTGTAATGAATTAATTAAATTTTCGCCGGTTAATAATTTTAATCTTCGTACAATATCTCGTACTTGTGCATTAATCCACGTGGGCGTTCATCTCGACTAGGAGAGATGTTGAAGGAACAAAAATGTGTACTGAAAATTTGAGGATTGAACAATAATAATAATTAGTGATGTTTCGTTCACTCAACTTCTGATATTTAAATCTTTACGGATTCCAATAATTCCAATGTGGTTGAAATTTGGAATTAAAATAATTAAATTTAATTTGATTTTATGAACTCACTCACTGTGGTCTTAGTTCTTCTACTGATCCTTCTACTGATTGAGAAACTTTGTTGCTTCGTTTTACAGGGTTTGGAATTATAGTGACAATACTGGGAAACTTCAAGCAAGTAATTTTTCCCGGTGGAAAATGTGTCCTCCCCCCCAAAAAAAATTCCCGAGAATACTCACATAGCTTCTTGTTTTCAAATCTGGACATCGCAACTGCCTTTTGAATGTGGTCATAGCTACTATGATTCAAATCTTCTCCTGGCTCCGAACTTCTAAATTATTTAATTGCCATCAATTTTTAGATATATCCTTAGATCCGAATTTTTAAATCCAAACCTAGCTATTTAACATATTCGCAAATTTTCCTAATAAACCCAGAATATCGGACTTTATTCGCGTAATGGAAAGATGTTTTTTCATCCACATGTCAGAAGGCAAATGTTTAACTCAATTAAATTCAATAGTAAACAAATGGACCACGTTTAGCTATGGTCAAATACCGGCAAAACATAATTAGGAAATTTTGAAACATCATGTCATATCATGTTGAGAGTCAACACTTTAAAAATAACTTCAGTCATGAATTTAGCAACAGAAGGGAAGGATTGTTCGAAAGAACTATAATAAAATATTGAAATGATTGATAATGTCCGTCGTTTTCTATGTGTAAGTTTCATTCCTATAACCTATCCCGGACATATGGTTCCAGCAGGACTCTCGTTAAAGAGCTTTTCATTGCATACAATCTTTTAACGATCCTGCAGACTGAGGTCTGTCTAGTATTTCATTTAAATTCATTTTCAATGACCAAGTCAAGTATTTTTCAAGCACTTTCCAATTTTTCTCTTAACCAGTAATTTTCAGATTGCGAATGCCAAAGGCGAAGCGCATCTTTGGCACTCGCTCGTCCGTGCGTGTACGTTTCATTCCGATGTTTCTCTTCAACCAGTAATTTTCAGGTCGCGAATGCCAAAGACGGAGCGTTTCCTTTGACATTCAGATGGACAATTTGTGTGGCCTTCGTCCTCACGTGGCCTCAGGCCCCAGGCCTCAGGCAAGCTGACATTCGCTATGGCCTCTTTAGCGAGATCCGGGATCTTTGGGCCTTGCCATTACAAGGACTTATGGAATGCAAGAGGCCGATTGCCGGGCCGAGCATAGGCAATAGCGTTCTTCAACCGTAGCCTGGATTTAAGATCATGAAACCAGGCTTTCGAACCAAGATTCTGGCTGAAATTGTGTTCGAAATTGTGTCCGGAATTGTCTTTTAACTTTCAAGTAATGGTAGCGGTGGTCATAAAAAATGCCATTTTGGTAGGAAAACTTTGCAATTAGAGGACACAGGCAAACTATTATTGGTCGACGGTTGCAATGAATTCTATTGATGTTCAATTCACCATGAATGACATGACGTACTTTCCGCTTTTATTATTATTTATTTTTTTATTATTTACTATGGAAAGCTATTCCGGTGCAGAGAATAGCACTTTGGGACAAAATAAAGTAATGGGAAGATTTTGAATATGGATTTGCATCCATGTAGAAGGTAAGAAAAGTCTACTCATAAAAAAAATTACGCATAGCAGATTTCGGCTCATCTTCCGTATTTATCTTCTCACTAATTCTGAATGAGAATTCCAACATGGGTCTTTAATTTAATTTCTCTTATATTGCGATATGGAAATCCATCGCATTGAATTAAAGTTATTGATCGCTATAGCAGTAAATCATTATGAAATATATATGAAAAATAAATAGGCTCAATGATACACGCTAAGTTAAGAAAAAATCCAATTCTTAAAATCAATTGCACGACAATTTTGCTGTAAAATGGGAAGGTGCGGAAATGCACACGACCTCCGAGATATGAACTAAATTCTCAAAATTTCGTGGGTTGGATCGGAATTTCGCGGACAAACTTCATTAATGGATGAAGCGGAGAAAAGCTTTGAAATTCATGGCTCTTTTGCAGGAGGTCAGAAATCAAAGGTAACGACATTTGT